AAATACGATATGATCCTAGGAAGAGACTTCTTAATGTTGACAGGAATAGATCTTCTCTATTCCACTCGCACTATCAGATGGTTAGGTTCAACCATTGATATGAAGCCAATAGATCACTTCAATGATCCCCAGAACGTGGCAGAAGCCATGTGGATTGCAGAGGATGATGAACTCTTAGATGGAGGTTTCTTTGAGTTTCACCTACTTCCTCCAAGCTGCCAACCACAAAATTGCAGACGTGCAATCGGTTCAGACAGTTATTTAGCAGCAGATGCTGCGAGGGCTCCCAGTACTGAAAGTACACAGCCAAATCAAATACTCGATGCCAAGTACCAGTGAGTAACTCCAGAAGAGGTTGCAAACCATCAGGAGCATATGAACAGTTCAGAAAGACTAGCATTCACAGAGATGCTAGCCAAACACACAGAGTTGTTTGACGGCAAATTAGGTCGGTATCCTCACGAGAAGATCCACATTGATCTGCAGGATAATGCCAAACCAGTTTACATAAATCCGTATCCAGTTCCCTACAGAAACAGGGATGTCTTTCAACTGGAATGCCAGCATCTTGTTGATGAAGGCGTGATTGCTCCCACGGGCAATTCAGAATGGGGCTTCCCAGCCTTTATCATTCCCAAAAAGGACGGCCGAGTTAGATGGCTTGTTGACCTACGGGAGTTAAACAAAAGGATTAAAAGACCTAAGTTTAATCTGCCAAAAATTCAAGACATCATGAACCGAAGAACACGGTATGATCACTTCACAAAGATTGATCTTTCTATGATGTTCTACTGCTTTGAATTAGATGAGGAGAGCCAAAAGATTTGCACCCTCACTACAACGCACGGCAATTACAGATGCCTCAGATTGCCTATGGGATTGAAATCATCTCCCGACTATGCACAGGCTTTCATCACAAAGATCCTATCTGGTTTGGATGTTGAGGTCTATATTGATGATATGGGAATTTGGTCTCGTGGACCTTTTCACCAACACCTTTCATTGGTTGACCCAGTCCTGGAACGATTGGCCTCCAATGGGATGAAATGCAATCCGCTCAAGTGTGAGTGGGCAGTGAAGGAGTCTGACTTCCTTGGCTATTGGTGCACTCCCACAGGAGTCAAGCCTTGGCAAAAGAAAGTAGATGGAATCCTCAAGATGGGAATCCCACAAAACCAATCACAGGTCCGGTCTTTCCTTGGTGCAGTAAACTACTACAAATCCATGTGGCCGCGTTGATCACATGTATTGGCCCCACTAACTGCACTCACTGGCTCAGGACCCTATGKGTGGACCCCTGCATGTAATCAAGCCTTTCARGAGATGAAAGCGCTTCTTGCACATGATGCAATCAACACCTTTGCMGATCTCAATCAGCCCTTTCACATTTACACCAACGCTTCTGATTACCAGCTCGGAGCTGCAATCCTACAACATAACAAACCCATTGCATATTGGTCTAAGAAGCTCAATAAAACTCAAATGAACTACACCGCAATGGAAAAAGAGCTTCTGGCTATCATCATGTGCCTCAAAGAATACCGGAATATGCTCTATGGAGGCAAGATCTACATTTACACTGAT